GGGGTGCGGCTCCTTCGGCTGGGGGTGCGGCTCCTTCGGCTGGGGGTGCGGCTCCTTCGGCTGGGGGAAACACTAAAGCTCCTCCTTCTGCCCACAGATCGAGATCTTCGTCGACGGCTGGGAGTGTGACTGCGACTCCGACGACTGGGGGTGCGACTTCGACCTCTGACTGTTTTCCGGTTATCCCTAGAGCTTGACCTCTTCCTTTTTCTTTCCCTGGACTTAGATCTGTGCTTTGGAGATCGTTTGCGCTTCTCTTTTGATACAGATCGCCTTCCTCTAGACTTTGACCTTGACCTGCTGCTCCTCCTCCTGCGCCTTGACCGTGACCTTGACCGTGTTTGAGAGCGCTGCGACTTGGACTTAGATGACCTCTTCCTTGCTCTAGAACGAGATTCACTGGTACGTTTCCGTGACTTGTGTTCAGAAGATTTAGAGCGCTTACTTCGAGATCTTAATGAAGAGTCTCTTTTCTTTTCTTTCTCACCTTTGTCCCGGTTCTTATTTTTCTTGCTTTTTTCATGTGGGTCCTTAACTTTCACAAAAATTTCATAATCATCTTTTTCCTCTGAAGAGGATTCTGAAGCTCTTTCTGGTACATTAATGGCAACTGGACTGGCAGCAGATTTATCACGGTCAACTTCGCCTGCAAGTAAAGGTCCTTCAATACCAGCTCTAAGACTTGCAAGGCGTTCCATGTCCTTAGGAAGTAATGGTCTCACTAAATCTGCTTCATTGATATCATCAATACTGGTGGAAATTCCTGAATCACCCACGATCTCTTTGCTAGGGAGAGGTACTTCCTTGTCTTCACCACTTTCTTTAGGGCTGACAGCAACTGTTGAAGTCTGGTCACTCTCTTTCATAGGTAACGGTCCTTCTACATCCTTATGAACAAAATCATTAGCTGGTAAGTCAAGATGAATATCTTTAGCAGGCAAAGGTCCCTCTATGTCAGCTTCACTACCACCACTGGGGCTGGAGGAAATTACCATGTCATGTTCAGTATCTTGAGCAGTTAAAGATACTTCAGCATCATATTTACTAACTGAACTAAGAGCAGATGTCACAAATTCAAAACCCTTACTAGTTCCTAGGGCATCAGTTTGAAGAGGAAGGGTACCAGCAGAAAACAGAGTTCCTCCTACATTAGCTTCACTAACACTAGGGCAGGTATCCAATACTGTACACTGTTTAGTCTCATCAACAGTTAAAATTTTCCCTTCACCAATTTCACCAACAGCATCAGTGCTGGCAGAAGATATTTTATTGTGTTCCATCTCTTTTGCAATTGAATGACTATTTATACTTAGATCTGTATTTACACCTTGTTCACTTTCATATAAGTCATTTTTCAGGTGTCCCTCAGCACGAGGTTCTTCTGAATGCTTCGGAATCTCTTGCATGCCAACCTCTGGGGCAAGGTTTTGATCACCAGACAATAAATTCATTCCCTTCACAACGTGAGATTCCAGCATCACTGGTGTAGCTTCTACAATCATCTCAGTTGCTGTTATTTGTGTATGCTCTGAGACAGTGACAGCAGGCTCCGAAATTGCTACGGCAGATTCTTGGACCAAAACAGATGGTTCTGAAGCAATTGCGGCAGACTGAAGGGTAGACACTGCTGGTTCTGGGACAGGCACAGTAGGCTCCAGGGTAGAAACAGCTGGTACGGGAACAGTAACATGCTCTGGCTCAGCCGTAGCCAGAGGATCCAAGACAGTCTCAGCTGGAGGGCCCAGGGCAGCCACAGCTGGCAGAGCAGGGGCAGTTATGGGCAGTGGTTCTGGGACACTCATGGTTGGGGGCTCTGGAACAGCCCCAGCTGGTGGTTCTGGGGTAGTCCCAGCTGGTAGCTCTGAGGCAGCCATGGCTGACAGCTCTAGAGTGCTCTGTGATTGTTCTGGAATAGTTACTCCTGACTCTAGCATGGGCATAGTCACTTCTGAAGCAACATGTCCTGAAGCTCTCATAGAATCATAGTTTTCTGCTGTCTCTGACCTCATAGAAGACTCTGATGTTAACATAGTGGGTTCAGCTGACATTACAGGAGTTTCAGACACCATATAAATTACTGGACCTTCTCGTACAATCTCATGCTCTTCTGTTACTGCAGCAGATTCTACAGGTGTTGATGTAACTGAAGACTCTGGTTCTAGTGGTGGTTCTGGAACAGTCACAGTACCCTCTGATGCTAGCACTGAAGGCTCTGATGCTGACACTGAATAGTCAGCAGGCACTGCTGAAGGTTCTGAAATCTCACTTTGACTTACAATAGGTTCAGGGAGGGCTGCAGAGTCTTCAGGAGGTAATGCTTGCACCTCAGTAGACCAAGTATTCTCAGCTGTTAATGCTGACTGCTCACTGGGTAATGCTGTACCCTCTGGAGGCTCCTCAGGAGGCAGTGGTGGTGTCATTGGTGGCTCCTCTGGTGGCAATGGTGGCATTGTTGGAGGCTCTTCAGGAGGCAAAGGTGGTACCATATATGCCTCTGTATATGTATCAGTGTAAGAGTCGGTATAAGAATCAGCTGTCATAGACATCATTGAACGATCAGCAGTGTAAGATGACATCATAGACCGGTCAGCTGCAGAGTACGATGACATCATAGACCGGTCAGCTGCAGAGTACGATGACATCATAGACCGGTCGGCACCCATGGACATCATAGAGCGGTCAGCCATTGGGGACATCATGGAGCGCTCATAAGCTGACATCATAGAACGTTCATAAGCTGACATCATAGAGCGTTCAGCCATAGGGGACATCATGGAGCGCTCATAGGCTGACATCATAGAGCGCTCATAGGCTGACATCATAGAGCGCTCAGCCATAGGGGACATCATGGATCGCTCATAGGACATCATAGAGCGTTCATAAGATGACATCATGGAACGTTCTGCAGCATAGGACATCATCATAGAACGTCTAGATGCTAACATCAGGGGTCTAGGTGCTAACCTGTAGGGCCTAGGTGCTATCCTATAGGACCTGGGTGTTATCCTATAGGGTCTAGGTGACATCCTATAGGGATCAGGAGTTAGTCTGTAGGGATCGTGGCCTAATCTATAGGGGTCCTGTCCTAACCTATAAGCATCATGACCTAATCTGTAAGGGTCATGACCTAACCTGTATGGATCCTGAGCTAACCTGTAAGGATCCTGAGCTAACCTGTAGGGATCAGGAGACTTTGAGCCCAGCATAGAAGAATCTTGGGTACTAGAAGCTAGCATCTGGGCATCCATGGTACCAGATGCTAACATCTGAGCATCCATGGTGCCGGAAGCTAACATCTGAGAGTCCATAGTGCCAGATGCTAACATCTGGGAATCCATAGAGCTAGTCGCTAACATCTGGGAGTCCATGGTGCTGGT